CTGTTTCTACAAGGGCATCACATGAAATTCGCCTTTAATCCCGCAATTCTGTAGAATGAAAGCAGCATGAGCAGGCCCTAATCAATGAATACAACTTCGATCACCCGGATGCCTTTGACATTGAGCTGTTGCTGGATGTGCTCACCAAGCTCAAGGAGGGTCGCAAAGTCGAGGTTCCAGTGTACAATTTGTGACACATGGTCGCGAGAGTCAGACGAAAACGATGTACGGTGCGAATGTGATAATCTTTGAGGGCATCCTCACATTCCACAGTCCTGAGGTGCTCAAGCTGCTGGATATGAAGATCTTTGTGACACAGATCCTGATATCCGTCTGGCTAGAAGGTTAAAAAGGGTGGATACAGTGTGATCATATTGGATTATTAATATTCATTATGCATTCCAGGGGAACCGGTCGTGACCTTAGGGGCGTTCTTAAGCAATACCTGAACATGGTGAAGCCATCGTATGCTAATACATAGCCCCAACCATGGCCCATGCTGATATTATTGTTCCACGCGGAGGAGAGAACAAGGTGGCCATTCATCTCATCGTTCAGCACGTGCACACACAGCTCCAGTTGGTAAGAAACCTACAATAATTCTTGAACCTATCTTATCGTTTATTTCCTTTTTAAGCGTGGATTTAAGCTGCGCGAAACGCTGGCCAACTCATACAAGGACCAACCCATGCCACTTCTCTGCACTTGTTGCATCCCACTCCCCAGATCAAGGGCCTGCACACGTTTATCCGCTGTCGGAATACGTCCCGCGATGAGTTTATCTTCTACTCGAAGCGCCTGATCCGATTAGTCATCGAGTATGCGCTCAGTCTGTTTCCATTCAAGACAACCACTGTGGAGACACCCCAGGGTGTCCATTACGAGGGAAAGCGAATGGAGTCGCGCAAGATCTGTGGAGTTTCCATCCTTCGGGCTGGCGAAACTATGGAGCAGGCCGTTTGTGACGTTTGCAAGGACATACGTATCGGCAAGATCCTTATCCAGACCAATCTGAAAACCGGCGAGCCGGAGCTCTACTACCTGAGGCTGCCCAAAACATAAAAACTCAGTGATACTAATGGATGCCACCGTGGCCACCGGGAGCCGCAGCAATGATGGCCATACGGGTGCTGCTGGATCACGATGTGCCCGAGGAGAACATCATCTTGGCCTCGCTGCTGATGGCGGGATAGGTGTGCACTCCATTGCCTATGCCTTTCCTAAGGTAAGATTGGAACATGTCAGTTTCATGGAGAAATCTTTAAACCCTTTTTTGTTTAGGTTAAATTGTTACTTCCGCTCTGGATCCGGAGATTAATAGTAAGTTTTATGTTATACCCGGCATTGGTAACTTTGGCGATCGCTACTTCGGTACAGAACCCTCGGACGAGTACTGAGGAGAATGTAACCAAACATCCACGTCACTGGAAACAACATGTTTCTAATGTACCCTAGGTTAAGTTCAAAGCGTTACTTAAATTATGAATTCGGAACAAGATAGTGTTTTATTGACTAACTATATGAAGCGCACGAACATCTGGACGAGAAATGCAATGCTGCCAACCACTAGGGCAATGCCCACATATCGCTGTATCAGCTGATCTCTGCTCCTCGCTTGGGCCCGTACTACTGGCGTCGCGTCCTCCTGCTTGTTCGCACATCTCGTCCAATCTTGTTCGTCGTCGAGAATCTCGCCCACCATACTGAACTTGCTGACGCTGGTGATGCGGACATGGACACGAGTACCCAGGAGATTTCCCGCATTGGCAGCAACAACCTGTTCGTAGCTCTTATTGTGTCCCACATAGTGAAGCTTGTCGTGGGAAACTTCCGTCACCAGCACTGTATATATCTCTCCCACCCGATTAGCATATGGGTTGTATGTGTAGAAGAGATCCGTGAGGCGCTTGGTTCGCTTCTTCACCAGATTCGCGGGAATGCGCTCCATCTTGGCAGCTGGTGTGCCGGGGCGAGGAAAGAACTGGTTGATAAAAAGGCTGGGGAAGTGGTACTTGGCGCACAGGCTCATCGTCTCCTCAAAGTCCTCCTCGGTTTCGGTGGGAAAGCCGCAGATGATGTCCGTAGCTATGGTAACGCCAGGAACACGTTCCCTCAGAAAATCCACGACGTGCTCGAACTCCTGGCGACAGTACTCCCGCTTCATTTCACCCAGCACCGAATCACTGCCACTCTAGTGGATATAGAGGAAATTATGAAGGGACTATGAATGGATATATATATAGTGGGTAATCCTCACCTGCACGGGAACATGCAAAAATGCGTAGACTCTCGGGTGCTGCAGCACCTTGGCCACCTCTTCGAGGTGCTCTAGAATGTAGGGCGGATTGGTCATGCCCACACGTAGCATACAATGTTCGGGAATTACCTCTACCAACTGCCACAATAATTCCGGCAGGGAACTGCCTATATCACGACCATAGGCGCCAGTATCCTCCGATGTTAGCCAGATTTCACAACAGCCCTCGGCAAAGGATTGACGGGCACGCTCCACTACCTCTTCCGGTGGATAGCTGGCTAGATCGCCGCGAGCGTGCTTCGTCTTGCAGTACGTACACTGATTCAGACAGCCCGAATTGATGGATATGATCTCGATCAATGGATTCTTGCGAACCTTGGGCAGCGAGAGAGGGGCCCCAGCTACGCGACGGCCGTGCACCTTCTTTTTGTTCTGCAGCAGCTGAACACTATGCCCTTTGAGCGTCTCCTCGACCACCTCCACCACGCGATCGATTTGCTGAACACCAATCACAGAGAGCCCGCTAAGGTAATCCGACTTTGGAGCACCCTGTGGAACGCAGCCGGCGACCACGACATGCTTGCCGTTGCGCATGCCCGACTCGATCTCATTTCTAAACGTGTCCTCTGATGGATTCTTAACTGTGCAGCTGTTGAGCAGCCACAGATCTGCCTCCTCCTTGCCGCTCAATTTGTAACCGTAGGCAGCCAGCTGCCCAGCCATGTACTCCGAGTCCGAGTTGTTGTGAGCGCAGCCCCATGTCTTCACAAAGACCTTTTGGGTCCCAGGTATCACACTTTCGTGGATAGTGGGCTTTGGTTGTCCTCCTTTTCCTCCTCCGGCCGGATTTGCGCCCGCCGTTTGGCACGCACTGTGACGTTCTTCTTGTTTCATAGCGTTCCCGGGGCTTGACATCGTCGGCAGATATTAGATCCTCGATGTCGTCCACATCGTTGCCGGGTAGATCCTGTCCCAGGTGGTACATAATGGTCGCTTCGTATCCTGGTTTTGAAGGCACATGTGCGCACAGGCCAGCTGTTTACATTCGTTTCGTGCTTCTTCTTTTGACGAATAGTGTTGTAAAGCGTTAGGTTCGTAGCTATTCGATAAGTTATTCCAATAAATTTTCGTTTGCAATGAGTGCACAATACCCTGCAATTCTGATTTGTTTAAAATATAAATAAAAACCAAATTCAGAGCGTAGCATAATTCTACTGAAACTCTTTAAATTCTGTGATTTTGCTTTTTTCGAAGCTAAATATTAAAATAATTAACACACCCTTAAAAGCGAACAGATAGCCATCACCAATATGCCCAAGCTTTTGCGGCTTTTGCACCCTACTGTGTAGACACACAGTTATCAGCGCGCTATCAGCGGAACGTTCTACTCTGCTCCAGACCGCCACAGCAGCCTGAATCAAATTAGCCATGGCCACGATTACGATCAAGTGTAAAGACACAAATCTGGACCCTTTGCCAGTCAAGGTGAGGTTACACGCTTATCGAAATCAGGAAATTTGAATTCTATTTCGTCCTCTCACCACTCGGCAGATTGGTATAATTGGCGGTTCCGGCCTGGACGATCCTGATATCCTGGAGAACCGTCAGGAGAGGGTGGTGAAGACGCCATACGGCGAACCCTCGGATGCCCTGATAGAGGGCGAAATCAATGGGGTCCAGTGTGTCCTCCTCGCACGACATGGACGCAAGCACGACATTATGCCCTCCAACGTTAATTACCGCGCCAATATCTGGGCTTTGCGCGATGTGGGCTGCACCCACTTAATAGTGTCGACGGCCTGCGGCTCCCTGCGCGAGGAAATCAAGCCTGGCAACCTGGTGATTCCTCACGACTTCATAGATCGCACCACCAAACGCCTGCAGACCTTCTACGACGGTAATGCGCAAAGTCCACTTGGTGTTTGCCATCTGCCCATGTTTCCGGCATTCAGTGAACGCACCCGCAAGGTTCTGATCGAAGCGGCCAAGGAGCTTGAGATACCCACCCATGAAAAGGCGACAATAGTGACGATCGAGGGTCCGCGATTCTCGTCCCGTTCCGAGAGCCACATGTTCCGTCTGTGGGGCGGCGATCTTATCAACATGACCACGTGTCCGGAGGTGGTGCTGGCCAAAGAGGCGGGCCTGCTCTATGGTTCGGTGGCAATTGCCACTGACTATGACTGCTGGCGCATGGGTTGCGAGGGCGTCAATGTGCAGGATGTCTTGAGAACTTTTGCCGAGAACGTCATTAAAGTTAAGAAGATCCTGGTCAATGCAGTGGGACGCATAGCGAAGGAAGACTGGTCGGAGGACATACTGAACGCCAAGGTAATGTAGTAATATGCGTAAGACCAAGACTTGCGGCTAACAAAGACGTTTTTCTTCTTACAGAAATGCGTTTGCGACAACACAATGTCGGGAGCCATGTGACGTTTTATAAAACTATGCCATGAAATCACACAGGAGACGTTGATGCGCCACAAGCAGCCATGCGTACCACTGCCATTCTACCATCAGTTCCAGCGAAAGCCCAAAGTCCACTCCATTTCCATTACGTACGAACTGGAGCCGGAGTACAAAGAAGAGCAGCCTACAAAGGTTCCCTATAAATGTGAAACTGTAACCTCGGCGTCGGGGTCCTCGCAGTAAAAATATACATATGTAGGTACATTATTATGTGTGAAGAAGCCTCTCCTTTTTTCTTTGAACCCACTCGGTGCTTCGAAATCTGCGTGGCAAATTCAGTTTGACATTTATAAGTTGACAATTGTATAATTACATAGAGTTTTGCGTCTTTAAAATTAAAATTGGAATTCGAACGCGCACGCTGGTGCTGGCTTTACGGACACTTGCGCTCCACCTGACTCTTGCCGGCCTCTTCGTACTCCTGCGACGAAATCCACATTTGCTGGAAGGTGCCTATGCTTGCCAGTATGGATCCGCCGATCCAGGCACCGAATCTCCGCTCGACGCTGCCGTTGGCCGAGATCATTTTCAGTCGCGTATTGGAGGGAGCACGTAGCTGCAGATCGCGATTTAGCCGTTCAGGGAAACCTTGCAGCAGAGTATTGCCACCTGTGGAAATCATCGTAATATTATTGAAATACTTAGCTGTAAAGTGAAAGTAAATCCCTTACCAGTTACCACGACCGAGCCGAAGAGAGACAGGCGTACATCGGCATCACACATGCCCACGCTGGTGGACGCCAGTTGGCCGGCTCCCAGCATTGCATTGTCGAACAGACTCTCGGCTATCTTAAACCTCTCGGAACTGAAGTCCTGGTGATAGCCGTTGGGGAACTCATAGTGCACCGTTGGGATCTGGGCAGCCACACGTTCGTCAAAAGGGCCCTCCAGCACCTGCAGCACATTCATCTGGAAGTCCTGCATCATTAGCTGCAGCATGTAGTTCTGCCACGATTGCGTTAGGTTTTCTGGCAGTTTGCGTAGCGTAAATCGAGCATTGTCGCGCTCCTTTACCACATCTTTGGAAGCAATCTTGTACACCGGCGACAGATCAATCCCGTGCTTCTCTAGATGCTGACGGCACTGCCGGGAGAGGAAGTCGCCACCCAGTGGAGACTTAACCACGGCCTGCGACAGTACATAGCCCTCGTGAACGGGCACAGCTGAGGTGTGAGTGGCTCCGCTGTCAACAACCAAAGCAGTGGCCCGTCCGCTGGAGAAGGCGGCTAGCACGGCGTTTTTGACCAGAAAGAAGGCTGGAACGTTGTACTTCTCGAACATTAGCTCCGTGAGCTTCTCCCGATTGTTGCGCACATTCCAGGAGGCCTCTGAGAAGAGCACGGGATGGTACTCCGGCTCCGACTGGATAACATTGGCGTAGGCATAATCAATCACCTTCTCAAACAGGTCCCAGTTGTCGATCATGCCGTCCTTCATATACGTCTGCACTTCCATGTGGGAACGAGGCACATTTACGTAGTTTGTGTCCACATAATACTTGCGCTGGTCAGAATCTGATGAGGATTTGGATGCTTGAATGAAACTACTAGTGCTGGTTAAAAAACTCACTGTTTGGCGTCGCATTGTTGTCCGTTTTGGTCTCTGGGTCGAGATTGGTCTCTGGAGCAGCTCCAATCCCCACAACAGACGGAATCTCCGCCTTTGGCGAATCCTCCTGCGCGTAGCCCACACGCAGGGAATGGTGCCCAGGGTCGAAGACCAAGGCTCCGATCTCATCCCCGCCGTAGAGCATGGTGCCGCCACTCATCTTGGGGCCGTGCAAATACTTTTCCCAGCAATTTGTTCAAGATAGAAATGCAAAAATTAAGTCGTCTGTGTGTATTTTGCGGCTTTTTTCACGACGCTTCGGTAGAGATGGCCAAACTGTCGATATATGTTTACCGAGCTATCGATAGCTATTTTTGAAAAAAAAAAAAAAAAAAAAAAAAAAAAAGTAAGCTTTGTCTGGTAACGCTGTTTTGTGACTTCGACTTTTATCAGTATTTTCGAGGGTTTCTCAAAAATTTCACCAACGCAGGGCAATATAAAATTACACTCGAGAAGGGAATACAATTTTATAGTATGGCAACACCAACTACAGTCAATGTAAGTGTGACCAGCTATCAAAGAAGAAACAATCTTACGGTGTCCACAAATTAAAATCAAAGAAGAAGAAAGGAATTTAAAAACGAAGCCTGTATCCGTTTTTTATTGTTTTAAATAATTAAAATGGGCGCCGATACCGACACTGCTGACGAAACGGCTAGTTCACCCGAGGATGAACGCATGGCCCTACTGGAAATCAACATATCCAACACGAACGCCGACTCCCAGGTAGTGCTGAACGACTTGCGGCTCCTGGAGCTCCTTTGCATGTACCCGTTCCTCTTCAGCAGGCAAGTGTCTCCACAGCAGGACTATAATGATTGGGGCTGGGAGCAGGTGACCAAAGCCTTCAACGAGAGCTACGAGGGCATACCGTTGAGCACACCGTTCTCCGCGGCGGAGTTGCAATGGCGCTGGGAGATCTTGTGGCCGCTGATCAATTCGCTGGCACGGGCAAAGAGTCAGATTCCGGAGCCGATGTGGAAGATTGTGGTACACCTGAACAATCGTCTGAATGGCGAAAAGCCCAAGGAGACATGCAACTCTAGGTGCCAGGATCTTGTGCTTAGTCAGCTGCCTTTTGTGGAGGAGCTCTCCCATAGCCAGCGGCTGCGCCTCGAGGTGGAGGTTTTAGACCTTATCATGGACGAGGAGCGTCGCTCACAGTACTTATACGATGATATGAACACTAGAACGAAGAGGGTGGTTCAGAGCGAGTACGATGAGTTTTTTGCGTCTATAAAGGTGAAGGAACTGCCACCGGACACCTTGAAGCGCCTGGAAATGGATAATGGCTCCTCCTCCTCCCAATCACAATCGCCCAATATTGTGAATGCTAATGTAACGGGCCTGGTGATCAGCAATGTGTTCAGCAGCGCCGAAGAAGTCACGAATGGAACAAACGTGCCCGTAATCAAGATAGAACCAGTTGATGAAGATGAAGATGGGTTAGAGCCACCAAATTCGTCCCCGATCAAATCCAATGACAATCTCGCTACGGAAGGAGCAGTTACTTATAACGTTATTGTACCCATAAAGAGCGCCAAGGAGTTTTGTAAAAATGTGCGAGTCCGATTGAAACGTTTGGATATGGACGAATATATGCCATTGTCCAGCATGCGACGATCTAGTCGATTCACCGCGAAACACTAAACTCTTCACTTTGTATCAAATGCTCATAAGTTTATTTAAAAAATACACATTACTATAAATTACAACTTAAGGCTATTGTATAATCCGAATCGCATTTTGTAATTCGTTTGCTTTGCATTCTCGAAAAAACCTAACAACTAAACAAACAAAGAGCAGGAGAGCAGGAGGCGGGAGAACTAGGACAGGACAGGAGAACGAGTTGTACTATGCACGTTGTCTAGGAGTGTTCGTTCGTTCGATGCTTAATTAGTTAATCAGTTATCCATTTTCTTCATTACACAATTTCAACAACAACAGTCACATAATGAACGCAATTCAACAGGTGTCTACGAAAATACAGTCGTCGTTTGGTGAAAAGCCCGCAGGCAGCCACTGAACAACAAGAAACAAAACAATGTGTGGAGGGGGAGCTAACAATTTGCAGCCTCAAAACAGTTGGTCCGCCAGGTTGCCAATGAACGTGGCGAGGTTCATGGAGGAGCCCTCCTTGAATTTCAGTCCAATCGTCTTGCCGTAGGCTTGAATAAAAATGGCGCGCACTGCATTCAGGCGTTGCTTTCGTCTGCAAAAGATTAAGTTTTACGTTAATTACTCTCGATTTCTGTTGGGCGAATCTCCGAAAGAAACTCACAAGTTAATGCACTGCTTGCTGGCCATGGTGCTGCCGCCACCAATATCTTTGGAGGAACCATTTGCGAAACCGTGCGTTGCGCTGCCATTGCTTATGCTGCTGCCGCTTCCGCTGCCGCTGCCGCTCGACGCCGCATTGATGCTGCAGTGGTAGCCATTGCCACCGTTGTACATAGGAATGTTCGAGGAGCTGCTGCCACCGTCCGCAGCCTGCTGCTGGGCCACAAACCGCATCATGTAGCTGCCGTTCATCATTGAGTCTATAGAGCCCGTATCCGTGACTACCTGCCAGCTGCCATTCGATGAGGTGGACTCCTGGCGCTGCCGGGCATTTGATCCGGGCACTGAGATGGGACTGGTTCTGGATCTAATGAAGAGTTGGCCAGTATAGTTAATGGTTTCCCAGGTGTTGAAGAAATCACTTACCGCTTGGGATTCGGCGATCTGCTGGTCAGCGGATTGACTGACGCTGGCGTTGTGGCATAAAAGTTATCTGTTATGGACATATCACAGTTGGAACAGTTTGAGTAGCTGTCGTTGCTATCTTGATCAAAGGCCAGGATGTAGTCCCTGAAAAAGTCAACGGGTAAGCTTCTGGTTTTGAAAACAAATCCTTCCAGTACTCACTCCTTCAGCGGCTCATCGTCGCAGCCCTCGGACTTGATGACTATCACACTGCTGCCACTGCTGCTTGAGGTCTTGGTCCGCTTGCGATGCTCCACAATGCTGTACTCCTCGTCCGTGATGAACTTGAGCACGTGGAAGCAGAAGAACATGATGTCCTCGCCTCGCTTAAGGCGATCGGGCAGTTGGTGGCCGAACAGGTACCAGTCGTAGGCCAGTGTAAAGTACGCCATCTGCATGGCGTTCAGCGACTGATGGATCAGTCCATCTGCCCAAAGGGATAACCGGACGAGCGAGACGAACAGCGGTGTGCGATCCCAGCCACTGATGCAGTGAATCAGCAAGCCGGAACTATCCTCTTGCACGTACTTGAGCGTTGCACGCAGATAGTTCTGCGTAATGGCCACCAGATCCCAGTCACGGTACTCCGGCCACACAACATCGATATCGGCGGCGGGTCCCAGATTCGGTATATTGATATTGGCATCGTTAAATGACTGCTTCCAGTTATAGTGCAGGTTGCGAGCCATGTAGTTATTGTCCCGGAACTTCTTGAAGAACTCACAACCCGGATACGGCAGCGATAGCAGGTTAAAACTCTTGTAATGCTTGTTGGGATCCGCCTTTTCCGACGAGGACACGCTAAAAACACGGATAAGATTGTTAAAGAAGGAAGCTTTAGGAAGTTTTATTATTCACTTACGCCATAAAGTATTTGATCTTGCGATTCTCCACCATTAGGTCCACAATGGTGGAGACGTTGAGCGTGTGAAGCAGCTGGATGTCGCTCTTGATGACCTCGTCGTAGCTAAACTGTGACTGAGCCTGGTCGTGGATGTGATTGATCAGCGATTCGTCAGTGGAATCTGCATCGTTCTCCTCGCCATTGGGCGCCGTATAATTGCCACCGCTCAGGCAGTCGTAGGCATAGTCTACCACCTTCCGGCCGTAGGTTTCCGGCATCACGGATAGCGTGGCCGATCGGCAAATGTACTTCCCGCGATACATGATCACGGGCACGGCGAACCTTTGGCGGCATCTCGCGTACTTGGCCATCGTTACCAGCTCCCGCATCCGCTGAATGTCATACTGGTCCTCGTAGATCGTATGTTGGGGCTGCTGTTGCGCGGGTTGTTGTTGCTGTTGTTGCTGTTGCTGCTGGAGTGGATGTGGCTGCTGGGAGGAAGGATACTGTGGCTGTGAGGGATATTGCTGCTGGAGTGGATGCATCGACGCCGCCGACTGCTGTGGCGTCTGCAGGGGATTGGCGAACGTGACAAAGGCTTGGATCCCCACGCCTTCGCTTCCGGTGCTGCCAGCACTACTGTTCAGTGGCGTGGCCGTTGCCGTCGTTCCCGAGGACCCACCTCCACCCAAACCACCGCCAACTGGACCAAAAAGTCCATTTCCCGGTATCAGTGTTTTCGCCATGTGTCCGTGCTCGCATTCGGGAATGAGTATCCGGCCAGGGTATCGCGGGCTGAGCAATCCGTTCGAGTTGTCCAGCTCTATGAGGCTGTAGTCGAGTTTGAACAGGTATTCGCATTTCTTGGAGATGTCGTACTCCTGAAACACAGGCAAAGGGTATCCGAGTTACATTAGAAAGGGATTTAGCGGAGAGCATTAACCTATTATAAAATTCAGTTACTACAAAGTTCGAAAAATGCTTCGCTTTGCTTCATGCTCAGATCGTATCAACCAATGACCTCGCAATCCCCATATTCCTGAAATATCTCCAGTGACTTTGCGTACCTCGTATTCATAAAATATTTGACGGGTAGCTGAGTAAAGTCAATTGCTTGCATAAATCAGCAATGCCGGCGTCTTAATGGGCAGCGCGAGATTAGAACGCGGAGTGCAACTGGTTTTTCAATACTATATACTACAAATGTATGTATGTATCGAGTGTATATAAATTCTTGTCCCGAGTTCAATGGAACCTTACGTCCCCGGGAAGGAGAACTGGAATCTGGAGACGCCGACTATATGTAGCTATCTCTGCCATTACTCGCTACCAGAAGGCCAAAAGCGATAAGAGTGCGCCGGTTAGACAGGGGAAATTACCAATACACAACAGCAATTAGCCATCGAGATAATTGCATAATATTCGCCTTTTTTCCCAGCAAATATAATTCGTGGATTTGCACAACAAGAAATACAGGTTGCCCTAACATACCTGGTATTTAAAGTTTATGATTATTTGATTATAATTCCTCTATTATACCCTTGCAGGGTTTTCTAATTTTAGTCAGATAAATTTTAACACTATGAAGAAGTCATTCAGACCCTATAAATCATATAAATTCTTGATCAGCATCAACATCAGAGTCGATCTAGCTATGTCCCGTTACAACACTTTTTCGATTTTAAAAAAAGGTAAGGGGTAACATCGTTAAAATTTTCAAAAATCTAAAATTTTTAAACATTTGAAATTTTGTATGCACATTAATAAACCTGATAAAAACTAGCATATTATAATAATTATTGCTTTCCATGGACTCAACTGTTTATAAATCGATTACAATCCTTCAGAAAGTCCTGAGATCACGATCACATCATCATTTAAGATCATATACCATAATTTATCAGAATACACCATTGATAATTGCAGTGATATTATGGCGAATAAATTCTAAAGGTTGGTATTAGCGAGCTGTTGGCTAAAAATAGCAAAAGGCTAGCTAGGCCAAGAGGCGGCGGCGGGTGGGCGGAGCCGCAGCCAGCTGTCCCAGACAAACAACTAGATAAAAGCATAATAACAATAACAGCAAAAAGCACTCACACAAACACACACTTGTACGCTTACAAACAAACACCTTGAGGAAACAGGTTTTTAGCGCACACACACATACAATCGCACAAGGAGAAATGTGTGCAAATTATAAAAACAACAATGCATCAGAAACAAAACGACAAAGGCAAAGGCTGTGCAAAAAAAATTAGCAACAACAAACGCGAACTAACGAGCAAAACAAACCTGACGAAAACTCACTCGGCCGTGTGAGTATGTGAATGTGTGGGTGCAAGAGAGGTATTGAGAGAGAAACTACGCTGAGCGAAGCAAGTGAGCAAAACAACTAATACGCAATTACAATTACCGAGAAATGCCGATGGTAACACGCAAAAAGAAAACAAATGCCTGATTATGGCATTTGTTTTGTATTTTAATTTTCTGCCATCTCCAAATTGCATAAGAGCGTCCAAAATTAAAAATTGTTAATTTTAAGCTCTCTTGAAAAACAAACGATAAATCGAAATGGCTATACATAGCTCCCACTCTCTCCATCTCGCTCAGAGTTTGCACAAGTGTTTGGCTTGCAGCTGCCATCAGTGCAGTAAATTTAGTTACTTTTAACCTGAGAAAAAAGTTAAGATGCGAAAATACCTAAATAATTATTATTTTCTTACAGGATTTAATTAATTTAATTGAAATAGAAACAGCTTAGAAATATTACAAATGTTAAAATTTAGTTATTTCTTCACCTTCCTTCTAGCATCTCTAGCTATTTATACTAATTCCTTAGCTAGCTGTGTCCAACACTAACAACCAGATGAGAGTGGGAGCGTGCGAGAGAGATGGGGATGCCGAAAACAGAAAAATCCCATCGATGGCAGATGCACATGTGTAAGTGTGAGTGAGTGCTCCCAAGTTGGAGACGCTGCCGTTACACATGCACAAGCAGCTCCAGCAGAAAGGGGGAGCTCTTACCGTTGTGTGTGCATTGAACTGCTTGCTCGCTCACTGCTTCTGCTGCCGTTGCGGTCGCAGATATTTTCTTTGTAAGCGAGTAAATGCAACTGTAACTGGCCGCCGCCGCTGCAGCGCTGCTTTCGAAACTGCGCGCCTGTTCCAAAGGCGCTGTAAAACTTAAAAACAACAAACCGACGCGACGGGCGATAGTTACAGCGCACTGTGTGCGGAAAATAGTTTTCGCGCTCGGACTGGCTGGGGCTGGTGATCATCGGCGGCGGCGATGGCTCGACGACGCTGCTGACCCAAATAACAGAACTTAAACCAAAGACTTAAACTCAAAATCGAGAGCGAGACTCAAGCCGTGATGCAGTTTTGCCCACAAACCCGGATTTTAAGCACTCTGCCGATGCTGGGCCACCAGAAATCCAGCAGAAGCTGCGAGCGTGCGACACACTTTTCCATCTTTCTCACTCTGTCTTTCTCTGTGGTAAAAAAGCAGAAACAACGCCAGAAAAGCTGAAAAACTGAAAAAATACAACACAGCCAACAACAACAATCACAGAGACAGCAAAAGCAACAAGAAACCGCAAAGCAGAAATAATCGCACTCGCACTCGTACAATCGAACCGAACGAGGAACCACCAAGCGAACCGAACTTCAACTCGACCGAGCACAGGCCATCAGCAGAGAGAAGGAGGAGGAGGTGGAGAAGGTGGAGGAGACAAAGAGGGAGTGGATGGAAATGGAAGGTCGAAGACCATGTTACCATCTACAGTCGGACTTCGGTGGCCGCGACTTTGAAGAAGTCCACACGTTGGGAAAGGTTCCAAGGCAACCACAGTAGTTACAGGTTGGAATTTCCAAGCCTTTTTTTTATGTTTTAAAAATTCTTTTATTTATTTACGATGAAAAGTAATGAAAGAATATTTATTCTAACATCAAATCAAAGCATATTTAATTTCAAGTTTCTTTTTAAATAAATTAATAATAAAGAAAATATTTTATTTCTAAAATATGTACGGCCTTTGTTAATAACCCGGCAGCCTCTATTAACCCATGAAAGCTCTCCTATCATCCAATCTTGGCTTATATTGGCCATCACAAACCCCCCGGAGGCGGAAAATAAGGCAGTCCCCATAGCGCCTTGTAACAACCCACACGTTGCATATTCAACGAAGGCAGAGTTTTCTTGAATGAATTATTCTGAAGCTCGAGAACTAAGTTAAAACATGGGGGCCACTGACCACACCCATCCCATCCAGCCCGCTGCCGCTGTCCGTGAGTCAATGAGTGTTCCGTGCTTTATTCTCGTTGTTCTTGTTGCCTTTAACATGATTTATGCTTGCGCTTTTAAATGTGCAACGTGTTGTTCCAGCGACGGGCGGTTAAAGACCCCGCCCGATATAATATAACACAAAAAAAACAAAAAAAAAAACAAGTTGCGCCCACGTTCCATACACACAGAATTGGAATTTAGATCAGGTACGAAAGCCAGGTACTGTTCATGAGAGCAAGTACAGTTCGGTCAATCGGTTTAATATTTGTATACTATTTGAAATAGTTTAATTTATATTATTTTCTTAATTTTAAATAAATAAATAACTAATATGTAAAGATGTATAATCTTTATACCCTTGCATGGTATTACAATTTCAGTCAGAAGCTTGTATCGCATTGAAAGAGTCTTTTCCGACCCTATAAATCATATATATTCTTGATCAGCATCAACAGCCGAATTAATCTAGCTATATAAAAATAATAATAAATATTGATTTAAAAAATGCAAAATTTTAAGCTTTGCTATGATCGACTTCCAATACATAAGTTTACTATAATTCTATTGCAAACTGCAAGGGTATAAAACTTCGGCTTTCCTTTCTTATTTTATATATAGTTTTTCTATATCTTTCTGGCTTTCTCATCCTAAACATACAAGTTTTTGTATGAAAACATCTTCCACTTTAGTTAATCTTTTGCTTTGGCTATCTTTTCTCTTAATTTATGCACATCATCCACACCACATCGATTGGGGAGTTATTAATGATCTTTTAATATGCAAATTGCCGTTGCAGTTGATTTGCATTTCGATTTTTTTTTTCTAGAGTGCACATGGGTAAAAACATTCGACAGTGTGTGAGATACAACTTTCGAAAGTCTTTGAAACCGCTTTGTGGGGGAGATGAGTTGGAGATGGAGCCGCTGAAAGAAACACGTTTGAGCCGGAAGTTATGGGCCATGTTGAGGAGGCCAACAACACAAGCGATTTTCGCTCACTGCCCCCACATAAAAAGACATATCGCACTCGCGATAATTGAGCGCAATAAATGACATCCAGCCAAGTGGGCGTTACGGACAATGAGCATGGGGGGAACTGCAGAAATCTATTCATCATCCGCTTAATTTATTCGCCAGCCGAGTCGAGTCGAGAGTCAGGAAGAGATTTCACTTCCCTCGCCCACACACGCACTCTATTCCCTTGTTCCCACCAGACGACACAGAACCAGAATTGATTTATTTGGGGCGCCGATCGCTTTCCTTTCCTTCTGCTTTCCCAGCAGCTAGTTCAGTGTAATGTGAAAAGAAGGTCATCTGTATAATCCAAACGAATTGGCAATGACTTAGGATAGCATAAGAGGGGGATAAGGTTTGTAGAAGCATAAAAATAATGCTAAAAACTCATGTTTGTAAACCTTATTTAAACATATTATTGTTGTTAAATGAATTTCCTAATATGAATATTAATTATGATTATTTATCTTAGTATTATAAGTTCTGAGAGACTTATTGCAAGTTACATCTAATTATTCATAAGAAAATATAAGCTATATAAGATAAATTGTGATAATCTTGGTTATATAGTTTATAAATAAACATAAAATAAATATAATTATTTGTATAGTGCCTGTCCAAGTGGATTATTTCTTCAAGTGCTTTATTAACAAAGTCCACCAATTCAAATCAATAAACAGCAGACTACCGACTTTTTTTTGTTTTCAAGAGAATAAAATTGCTGGGATCCTGGTTGTCATATTATACATTCGAACACACAACTTAATCCTTCCCTTATTCGAGGCAACATCCCCTGTTTTTTTTAACCAACCACAACAAAGACCGAACCCTAAATATGCTCCCGATCCCCTCTCCCCAACATAATCAAGCCGATACAGATGCCGACCAACCATCCAACCCATCCTCTGCGAGAGTACGAGTCCGAAGCCCAACCAACTCCCGGCAAATAGTTGACACCGGAGACGGCATTGCCAGTTTCGCACATTATCGATTTTATCTGCCAGCGAGCAGGCGACCAGAATTAAACAGTTGGCACACCAAAATCCGCAGCATCCACAGAAACCGCACTGACGGAGAGTTGCTCCCTTCTTCTAATCATGCTTGCATGGTGGTCCCGGATGCGAGGCAGTTAGTCCAGAAGCGCAAGAAGCTCCGCAGCAGCGGCAGGGTGTTCCAGCGCCGGCTGACTTTTGAGCATGGAGGTGCAGGGTATGCATCTGGAAGCAGCATTGGAACCCCCATCATCTATCGGAGTGGCCCTTAATCGAATCGAACTCTGCTGCTGGTGGTGGTGCTGGTGCTGTTGCTGTTGCTCTTGCGTTCTCTCCTCTCTGTTCCGGACATGCGCTTGGCATGCTGTTGCTGCCTGCATCCCCAATTTAGGAGCTGGAAACGCCGTTACTACGGCAACCAGATGCAGCTGAAGCCGGGCCCTTTTGTCCCCTTTGTTGCTCCGTCCTATTTGATCCCCTGCTGGTGCTGGTGCTGCTGCTACTGCTACTGCTCCTGGGCACCTGGCACAAGTGTCTGCGGTGCGACCCACGCACCTTGCAGCAACAGCTGGCTAGCGGGCACACCCACTTACACACACAGAGGCACACATAGACCGGCGAAAAGGGGGCCAGCGGGGGTGACACATGCAGACGCGTGGGCGCAAAGTTCAAAGTGCAACAGGCTATCATAAAAGGGAGCTGGCCTCCAAGAACTATCAAAGCACAGTGGTAATGGGTTGGACAGAAATTGATTTGCAAATTAAAATATATAAAACAAATCTAATAATTATTATTAATTTGTATTCATAAAATCCTTTCTTATAAGCTCAGAATAAAAGTTTTAAGATAAATTATTTACTATAAAATGTATAATACTTATAAATTCAAACCATTTATTTTTATTATTGTGTATGCATGCGTGTGCCATTTTTCATAATTAACAGAATAAAGCACTTTGACATTGACCCGCATTTCATGCTAGCTTTATTTTCGCAGCTTTCCCACTAACTGATGTCAGACAATAATGGTTTTTGGCATGCTTGACATGCTGCCACAAAACACATTAAAAATCAATCAAAACAGGGCTTTTAGCCTTGCCAATTTTAATATAGTCATTACGCATTTGGAAAAAAAAGAATGATGTATTTACCCAAAAAGCAATTAACCTTTGCTTTATTTATATATTAAAGTTTGATAGATAGATTAGATACATTTTAGTTCATAAAACTGTTCAGAGAGCTTTCCTTCTCTATGCTTACTCTCAAAGATATTCAAGATATTCAAAAAATGAATCAACTTATATGTATATACTTTTTCATTTCACAGAACCTTTCTTTGTGAGCCCACTGTGGCGCAGCGTTTTGGTTGCATTTTGTGGCAATGTGGAAGGCACACACACAAACCGTCTTCCACTAGCACTCCTTCCGCTCTTCCGGGGATTTCTGCGCGCCTGTGCCGCAATTTCCAAAGCGCCCACACGAATGACGCCGCACGGCTTGCAGCACAGCTGCATCCACTCCCCAGGATGCGGCGGCTGCAGGTGCGGCAAAGGGGTGGCCTTGGACGGGGGCGTGGCCTCGGCACAGACTGCTGCCAACAACAACAGGCGAGCAGGAGCAACAGGGAGGTTACAATACATATAATCGTTCGTGTCACATTTAGCGCAGCTCCACTGTCCCCCTGGAAGGGAATTGCAACCCCCGAATGGAGTGCAATCTCCAGACTGGAAACGAGCTGCAGACTAGAAGTATCACACGGACAACAACGACGGAGGGATACACATTAATGCGGAGGAGTGCTGCTGCAGTAGCCTGGCTAATCCTGCAGGTCCTGGGACCAGGACAGTGTTCCAGCAGGCGCCAAAGGCAGCGCTCGCAACGTGGCCGTCTCCGGTCGATTTTCTGGTGGCGATTAAGCCAACAATCAACAAGAAAAGCCAGAAAACCAGCCGAAGGAAGCGAGGAAATAAGAGAAAATCCTTTTAGTTGCCTGGATGCGTAGCAAGCTTCGCTGGAATTTACAAGTTTTCCATACGTTTTTTCGAAAGAGCTAAACAACTCACACAAAAAAACAATTGACAAAAGCTAAAACAACAAAAAGAACAACAACAACAGGTGGGTATTTGGCACTGTGCAAATTAAATTAATTAAATTAAACAAAAAAAAGCAAGTTGCAAAAAAAAAAACAAAGCTCGAGATAAGCAATTAAAAAAGATTGTTTACGAAATCAAGATATATATTTTTAAAAAGGAAAGCCTTCGCCTTCCTGCTATTTTTGGCATTTTCACTTGGCCGGGAGAGCAAACAGCGGCGAGCCGCTGCCTCGGAAATTTACTTTTGGCGCCCACGCGAGCAGACAGACAGATGGCCCTCCCACAGATACCGAATCCAAATAATACACACTTGCATCTATATCTGCAATTGCAGCAGCTTATTTTCAATGCCATTTCAAAAATAAACACGTCTGAGCCAAATACAAAAAGAGTGCAAAATAGTACATATGTTATAATTTTGCTTATTTTGCTGAAATCAAAAGTGATATAATGAACAACACAGATCGTCAGTGCTGCCATATGGGGGATGATGTTTTTCTATATGGCGACAGAGACGGAATAATTGACGAGATTTTTAACTGTTTTTATGGTATTAACAACACTTGTTGGATTCCTTGTACTTAAAATAGCTGTTAAGAAGATAAATGGCAAATGTTTTTATATGAATTATAATCATTCTGGATATATTAGAGTAATAAAATGATCACAGAAAAACATATACAAAACTAAAGGTTCAATAATGACTTTGTTCTACTTTCTTGTATTCAAAATATTAATCTATTGATCACATTGATCATATAATATCACTAATCAGAAACCTTGACCTCTCCATTTTCAGTACCTAAAATCCACTAGATCAATTCAAGATGGCCGAGTTCAAGCCTCCGACTTCCTGGCCCCATCGCATGGCAAGCTTTCAGTGCCGACAGATGGATCTTAATCGCCTGGTAATGAACTACCTGGTCTCAGGTGTGTCGTACTCCATATTCTCCCATTCTTTTCTAATCAAATCATAATTTTTTCAGAGGGCTATCAGGAGGCCGCCAAGCGTTTCATGGCCGAGGCAAATGTAGAGCCGGGCCCCCATATGGACACCATTGTGGATCGAATGCGTATCCAGGAGGCTGTGCGTGTGGGTCAAGTGAAGTATGCCATGGACCTGGCCAGCCGCATTTATCCTTGCATCTTTGAGACGGAGAATTACGTGTACTTTCACATGCAGCAGTTGCGTCTAATCGAAATGATTAGGGATCAAAAGGCGACTAAGGCCCTGAACTTTGCCCAGAGTCCGTCCTCCGGCTTCGCACAGGTAGATCCAGAGCGTAAGAAGGAGGTGGAGCGGACTATGGGTCTGCTGGCCTTTGATCGGCCTGAGAACAGTCCCTTTGGCGAGCTTATGTTGTACTCCTACCGACAGAAAGTCGCAGGTGAGATAAACTCTGCCATGCTAAGGTGCCATCAGACGGCCAGCAGGGGCAAGGATCATGGTCCCATGGAGCCTCGGATGATTTTCCTCATCAAACTGATTTTGTGGGCCCAGGCCAAGTTGGAGAAGGAGGGCTGCACTGACTTCCAAAAGCTGGATCTGCAGCATGCTGACTTTGAGGAAGAGTTCCGCCGGAACTTTCAGGGTTGGTAAATAAACGGAGAGAAACTTATGATTGTCTAACGATCGAACGAATGGCGTCTACTGCGATTTTTAAGGAGTAAATGTATTTTTTTTTTAGCAAATACAACTTGAATGTAATTTTTTTTTGACCAAACCTACATATAAATGTGATTTTTTTTGAATGAATGTGATGTTTAATAATAAATGTTTCCATATCTTGGTGTAACCAGTTTTTGCTGATGTGCTGTCATAATACCAAGAATACGGTGGAAAAAAAGCTGATAAGGCTGATAACATCAAATTCCTGAGCTAATCTAAAACGCAAATTGTTGTGTCACGTGCCAGCAAAGAGCTATTTATACTGGTTTGTTTTTGTTTGACTCGATAACAGAATGAGCACAAAGACAAAGTAACAAAGTGTACGAGGAATACGACCAGGGAATACCTTTTAATAAAACCTGGGACATGACTTTATTTATGGCCAGTTTTAATAGGTAGATCATATAGTAATAGTATTTATTTATGAGGCAAAAGCTCTCAGTTTATATAATGGGGTTTGTAATACTTCACAAGAGTTGATAAAAATTAACCGTAAAATAACCGGCTTATAAAGCTTACAACCAAACTCGAAGTAACTATTTAATTTATGGTCATAAAATCAACAATCTAAATAATCATAAAGTTATTTTAGATACTTTTCAGCGCTCCCAGTTAATGCAATATTTTTCCTTTGTACTTGAATCAAGCAAACTGTCTCTCTTTCAACCATATTTTTGCACACGCTCGCCCGGCGATCTTTCTGATCTCCTGGGAGCAGCGTTTGCGGCTATCGCCGGCCTACGTCAGTGGGTTAAATATTGTGCCATTGGTTGGGCGCCTAATCTTATCAACGCTGGCAAAATTTAACCTTGAACCCGAGCACAGCTCATCACATACAAAGTTTCACCCTTTGCACCCCATCATCAAATGCAATGCCTTGTACCAAGGCTCTCTGTTTGTTTGCCTTCGAGTCGCTGGCAGATAAGTGAACTATAGAAATATAGAAATTATAGAAATATGAACGCTACTAACTGGCGCTGAAAAGCTAAGGTGATGATAACGTTAGCTAACAGCAAATGAGTTTGATAAAAAGCCACCTTGGCAATTGTGAAAGTACTGCAGTAGTAAGTTACTTAGTCTTGTCAATTATGCACGACCATTTCAGCTC